GTTCTTGAGCATGTGAATTGGGAAAAATGATTTAAGTGTTGAAATTGATGGTGAAATAGACCAATTAAGTATGCGAACAAGTGGTAACAAAGAAGAACTACCTAGCTTATTTCATGGAAAAAGTTTCAACCAAATGGAGAAATTTTAAGATTTATGGTGCATTTGATTTATGGATGTTTAATTGATAAGATTCATATTATAAAAGTATATTTAGATGATTTAGCATGTGAATTAACATTAAAATTGAAAAATTCACCTACCTTTAACTAGGTATATATTCGGCCATTTTGGAGAAAATAAGGAATTAAAGTTTAATTCATGTTTTATTGATATTAATGATTCAAATGATGAAGTTATAATAATAAAATGGGTTAGCATGTAAAGTAGTAAGTAAAATGAAAAATTTTCTTAGTTGAAGCCAAGGAAAGTTTTGGCCGTATATGAAGTTAAGGATAAAATTCGGTTAACCACACCATTATTTAGATTTGTAATTTTATGGCCGATTAAATGTATTACGTGTGTTTAATGTATGCAATTATATGATTATGGCGTGGTTACCTATGTTTATGGAAGATGTGAAATGAGTAAATTAATTGGTGCAATGTCTTATTGATTGAATGATATTGTCAAAATGTGTTCTTACGATATGTATCAATGAATACGGTGACTTAATGTGTAATGTGGGCTTTTATGCTCATATTTTATGGATATTTGAAATGCTAGGTTAGGTGGTACACTCGCGTTGAATGTGTTTATTTGATTGGACAATGTACCTTAACAATGGATTGAAATGCTAAAGGTAATGAAATGGTTATGTGCATTTTATTATGTCGAGGCATGCAATTTTATTACATAAATGCACATTTATTTATGTCATGCATCATATTCATTCATGAGGATATGCGTTTATATTAAATGCATATACACGTCAAAATCATGAAAAGGAAAAATGTTATTGGGGGTCTAATTATCCACGATATTTCTTCGTCGGAGGAATTGGTAAAGGCCTCGACAAAAGAAAATGATAAAGGAAAAGAGAGTCAAATATATACACTCATGTGTATAACATAAGTGTCCAAAAAAGAAAAAGAAAACGGATTTCAAAAAGGAAAAGGAAAAAGAATTTCAAAAAAAAAAGAAAAGGAAAAGTATTTCAAAAAAGATATGAAAAGGATTTTTAACTACATTCACTTGCGTACGTTCATAACATGCATGACTAATTTATTAAGCAATCGTTCACCCGAGTTCTTGTCATGTAGGGATGAAGAATAGATAATAATGGTCATATTCACACTATAGCTTATTACTAAAGAAACTCTCTTGTCGATCCGTAAGATGTATCTTACTTATGGTTGTAACCTAGACCTATTACACGTTATCGTATTATTGATGCTTGGTATTCTATTATATATACTTGGCATGACAACTCTATTTTCTACGATGATAATGACTAAGCAATCAAGTTTAGTTGTTTAGCATATAAAGGAAAGTAGGCTTATAAATAAGTAAAACCACTTTTGGTACACAAGTGTAGTTCTAAGTTATAAATAGTTGTTTAGCATAAAAAGAGTAGATTGTAAATATGTCACCTAATTTTGGACATGTTAATTATGTAATAAAATAGCAAGTGTGTATTTTGTCTTCCGGAAAAAGAATTTGGCAAAACTAAAATACACGAGATCATGTTATTTCAGTCCAAGCTATTAAAATAAAATGTTAAAACATAAAACTTTAATATGCATTTTGGGTTGAAATTTTTAAATAAAGCCGGACCTATTAACTATTTAACGAGCTTTTGTAGCAAAAATCATAATTAATAATATAGTAAGAAGTACATAGTGCCTTGTGTCTTACATTCATTGAGAGGAACGACGATAATATTTTCAAGCTATTTAGGTTTTCAATATGGAGTGTTGCACGTTTTATTTAAGTTAACCCTTTTAGATAAATTGTTTTCATTTTTTATTTTCAAAATAGATATAGTATGTGAACAAACTTAATTACGAAGGCCAGACCATTAAAAGAGAGATGTGATCAATCATGATTGAGTTACATGACTAATAAATTTAAACTGTGAATCTTGATGAGTCTAAACAACACTTAAATCCACACAAACTACAAATACTGCAACCTATTCGAACATGCCATATGGAGGAGCAGGGTGCATGCCCTTTTTAAGAGCTGATGGATACCTTGAAAAGCAGTGAAGTTTATAAAAATGCCCATTGATGGATGCCCTTTCAAAAATATATATATATATATATATATATTGAAATTAATAGAGTGCAATAAAAATTATAAAATCGATTTCGAAAAAATTTGGTTATATCAAGAATAAGAAAATAAAATACACATATTCTATTTTTAAAATTTGATTATATAAGAATTAAGCAAATAAAAGCAGGTATAAAAAAAATTATTCGAATCCATACATAGAGAATACAAATTAACTTGATGAGAATTTTTATAATAAATCGAAATGATTAATTTTAAATAATAAGAGTAGTATATATTTATTCTAAAATCTAAAAACATATCGTATATATTATATAATTATTAAATTATGTTAAAAAAATAACGATTGATTTTTTAAAATTTTAATACTCGATTAAATAAAAAAATAGCATGAATTGACGAAAAAAAGATAAAGGAAAAAAACCAAAGAAAAAAAAAGAAAAGACATATGTAATGCATCAGCTAGGAGATTAAAATTTTTATTTTACAATTTTAGGAAACAAAATGAAACAATTTGAAAAATACAAAAAAAAAAAAAAAAACTTAAGCTACATCGAGTAATTAGTGAATCTGTAAAGGAATGACAAGTGATTTCAACTGTTTAAAACTTCTATCTGTTTTAGTTTATTTTAATTTAATAGTTGCGTGACTAATCGGTATCCTAAAACTTTTTATATACTGAAATTGAATATACCTTTCTGATCAGTTTAATAAAAGAATGTTGGTTGCATTAATAATAAACGACTCGTAAGAATTTTATCAATTAAGTAACTAAATTGAAATATGGTAATCACGAGGGAACATAATTCATAGCCATTAAATTAAATCCCTTCAAAGTTAATTGGTTTAATGCTTTCAAATGTCCTTGTAATCTTGTTTTTGTGCGTAAAACGTCATTCTACTTATTTTTGGTATCAATATTAATTGTTCACGCTATGTATTTATTTCTGTTATTTGTAAGTATGCAAAATTAGGTTGTAAGATAAAAAGGGATGTCTCATATTTCACTTTTATTCACTCTCTCTTTCATGAAAAGGGTTTGCTATGCCTATTTAAAACTATCATAATTATGGTATTTTAAAGTCATAAGCTATTAAATATTTTTATTTATTATATCATAATAACTTATTTTGTCACTCGATAATTTAACTAATTATCTCATAATTGTACTAGTTATTAATACCATTGTATAGTTACAGTTCAAACGGTACATTATTCATTTGAAAAAAAAATATATCATTCACTTTACAACGCGCAAAAAATTAGGAATTGTTAAATAAATTTACTAAGTAAATTGTAAAAAAAATTTATCTTCTTTTAATTTAACTAACTGCTTCATAATTATAACAGTCGTGAACAATTAAGTTTAATTTCAATTGCATATAAAAAATATTACTATTTAAGTTATAAAAAAACTATTTGGAAGTAATTACAAATTAATAAGTATTTACATTCATTGCATATAAAACTCAATCTTAATACTTCTTGAACTTAAAGACACTATAATTATAATGTATTAAAGTAATCATAGCAAGACCCCTCTCTCAGCCCCAAAGGTAACAGAAAAAAAAAATGAAAAAGAAAGGGAACCAGAACAAACGTGCTTTGAGAGCACTAAGTAATTGCTTGTGAGTAAAAAAAAGAACAAAAATTTCATCCGAAGCTATATATTTTTATAATTCCATCCTGAATCTGAATCTCTGTTGCAGTTTATTGGAAACGCAGATGAGTGTCTTGACTATTTTTCTGAGGTAGAAAGCTCTCAAGAAACGTACAAAATGATATGTGTGTCTACATAAGATTCTTTGAATTCTATACAAGTCAGAATTCACCCTCGAAAGGGCTCCTGACTCTAGAATAAGGGTGATTGTTCGATATTTTGGTTCCATCTTTAACAATTTCAATTTGGTTTTCTATTAACCGAAACTAAAAAAACAAAAAATAAACCCAAACCAGGAATTATTATTCGATTTTTCTGTTTTAAAAACCAAAATTTTAGTTTTCCGTTTAAACTAATTTATTTATTTATTGATATATTTTTTTAAAATAATACAAATAGATATATAAAAAAAAACTATCAATCTATCATATATTTTTAATAATGTCAAGGAATTAATTTTTTTTAATGTATTTTCATTATTTTAAAACTTAAAAAAAAAAAAAACTCTGAAAAGAAAATTGGTTTTTTTTTTTTAACTTTAAATTAAAAACCAAACGGAAATTGATATTTGAATTAAATTCAATTCAATTTTTTTTTAATTTAAACCTTCTCCAAGCAAAGTTGACGTGGATTTAGTGGCTACATTTTCCCCAAGATACTTCATATCTCTCTATATATTGTTTATAGGTTAAATAAAGCATGGGGTACCTGTACACTCAAATTAGCATTTAAACCTCACGACCTTTTGTTCAGTTGCTTAAACATCCTTCTGTCTAAACATAGTTTTGAACCAATCAAATCTCCAGCATTTTGAGCAACAAGCCCAAGGCTTGCCTAAACATAGTTTTGAACTCCGACCCGATTAGATAGCTTCGTGCTTAAAACTGGATCCATCAAGATCAAACTATCTGGCCCATGACATGACCAACTGCAGACTTGACTCTTGGCTCTATAGCAGTCAACAAAGGCATTGTATGTGGTCCGGCCTCCAATTGTATGTTAACATCAAAACAAAACAAAAATCTCCACCTTATCCCCTCTGTCATCTTTCGTTCTCCTCCCTCCCTCCCTCTCTATTCTCTGCGTCGCCAGTTCACCTGAAACCATGGACGCCTCACCAATCAACCGTCTACCACAAGACACACTCCACCAGATCTTCTCCTCTCTCCCACTTCGTCAAATCATGATTTGCAGACCCGTGTGCAAGTTCTTCAATCAAATGTTGACCTCACCATCCTTCATGGACCTAATCTCAACCCAACCCCCACTCCGCTTCCTCGCTCTCCGCCCTCCACATCACCACCACCATCATCAAAGACATAATAGTCATGTCTCCTCTCTTCCTTACCTCCACGTCTTCGATCCAGACCAGAATCAATGGCTCAGATTTAGTCTCAGCTTTTTACCTTTCAGGTCACCTCACCCTGTCGCCTCAGCGAGTGGACTCGTTTACCTCTGGGGTGAGTCACTTAACTCGCTGGAGTCAAACAGGTCGCTCGTTGTCTGCAACCCCCTGACCCGCCAATTTCAGGTGCTACCCCAGCTTGGCTCGGCCTGGTCACGACACGGATCTGTACTGGTCGACTCAGTGAACCACCGAGTCATGGTATTAACTGAACTCGCTGCTTTATATTTCTCAAACACAAACAAAACAAACTCGTGGTTAACTTTCTCTGCGAATTTACCATCAAAACCCAGAAGCCCAATTTTAATATCGGACTCGGTTTTCGCTTTATGTGATGTTGGGTCTCCGTGGAGATCTCAATGGAAGCTATTTACCTGTACTCTGTCGAATCTTAACAATAGTTATAATAACTGGGTTTGTTTAGAAAGGCATGAGTGGGGAGAAATTTTTGATATTATTAAACGACCACGTTTGGTTCGTGGAAAGCGGAATAAATTGTTGATGATTGGAGGGTTAAAGTCGAATTTTTCGTTGAATCCTTCATGTTCGACGATATTGATATTGAGGTTGGATTTGGAGAGATTGGAATGGGAGGAGGCAGGGCGAATGCCTGTGGAGATGTACAGGAGTTTTCAGGAATCAAGTAAGTTGAAGGTTTTTGGTGGTGGGGATAGGGTTTGTTTCTCAGCGAAGAGAGTGGGGAAGTTGGCTTTGTGGGATGATTGTGATGGTGTGGTTTGGAGGTGGATTGAAGGAGTGCCTGGAGGTGGAGATGGGCTTTGTCGAGGGTTTGTGTTCGAGGCTTGTCTTACTGCATTGTCTTGAACTGGTATGTTTGGTTATTGAATTTGAGTTTAGGTGTTATTCGAGTTGGATTTGTATCATTATTGTTGTGTTTGAGAAACTTGTCTTATTTCTGTTGTACTACTTTGTATTTGGTTTATCAATGAAATGTTAAGAAACTGTTCCTTTGGTTGTCCTGCTTTTACTCTGTTTCTTCAATTGAAATTAGTTTGTTTCCTTATGCTTGAGGCCTTTAATTAATTGGTTCAGATTTGCGCTTGATACAGTCATGAGTTTATGAGTACTATGCTGACGTGAATGTGCTATTGCATTTATTGGGAATGTGAATGCGATTCTTGAGATCAAACTTGTCCATCAGTTTCATTTCTTGTTCAAGCTACCTTAGTAAATTTCTTCATTAGTTTTTCCTTTGGGATGAATTAGGCTTATTACAGAGCCTTTTGCTGTATATTTCATTTATTGGGTTTACTTGACTGGATATGATTCGTACCTTCTTTCTTAGTATTCAAATACAGGGATTGGCAAAATTGTCGTTGTTGTTGTAAGTGAAGTGTGTGTCTGTTATGTTCACTTCATTTTTATTTATGAGAGGACAACAATGTGCATGTGAATGCCTGATCAATATCCACTCATGTTGTGAATTAATTGCGGGTTGCAACTTACTTCAAGGCAATAAGGTATGTTTCCAGGAGCAAATCATCTGAAATTTTTAATTTTATCTAGTGAAAACATTGGATCCATGGAAGGCTTGTTGGAGAAGCTTTCAACTTGCAAAAGTTCTCCTTCGTTGATTCACCTGTTTCTTGAGAACTGTATACGTGCTTGATTCATGGGGAGATGAGGTCCCATTCCAATTGCAAACGCAGCTTTTTTCAACCTTGGATAACCTTAAGGTCCATATTTTCTGAAAACTTTAACCAACCCCTCCAGCTACAGCCCATAGTAATCGAACAACCCATCTTTTACTTGAGTGTCATTCACACTGATTCGCATGTATTGTCCATCCAAAAATAACCCCTTGAAATTTATCCTTTTTTCTATTTTGAAAGAAAGATTTCTTATATGGACAAGTGCAATGCATCTGGTTGCTTTTGGATTATGATGGTTTACTTTGATTATTTATGAACTCAAAGCATGTACCTACTGCTTAGTTTTTGACATTTTGTTCAATTTTTTTCATTTCTCTTTTGGCGTTTACTTGGTCCAAGGATGCATCAATGATTTGATTTGTTTCATTGTTTTTATTTATTTGTTTAATTTTACTTGGGTTTGTTCTTTTCCCATTTTCATGTTAGAAAACTATGTATGGAGCATCAGAGCTGGAAGACGCAACTGCTAATATTCTTTTTCAATATATAATGTTTCTTCCCTTTCGATTTGCCATATTTTTTAATGACTATACAAACTATTGCGTTGGAATAGTGATCGCTCCGATGGAAACAGTTGGCTACAATTGTCAAAGAAATTAAGCGTTGATAGAGACTTCTAGGATATTTTATACCCTTGAGAACTGACAACTTTCTCGAAACTTATCTAAGATCATCAACTCCCATTCTTCTTTTTCCAAAGGAGTAGATATTTGAAAATACATCCCTCTTAACCTTCTCTTCATAGGAAGAGTAATGTAGAGGGAGGGTGATCAAGTGTTATGAATAACATATATCCTAGAGTTCTGTAGGGAGATCAAGATGCATTACTGTATGCCCAGCTCATTATGACACCCGTAGGAAAGTTATCGTCTCCCCCAACTGGAATGAGAAATCGATTTCAGCGTACAACATTAAGAAGAGTTACTTTTTTGTGCAAGTTCCCCCTTTTATGTTGAACCTGTAATGGGATTTTATCGTTTTGCAAATTCAGGAGCTCCTTTTGTCCTTTTTCAATGCTGACTTCCGTGTCTGGGAATCCACGATGAAACAGTTGTTAAAGGCCTTGATTTTCAAAACAAGGACAACCAAGAGACCTGCCAATAGCTTGGCTTGAGAAACATTGGTACTCAAGGAAGGGGATCGGTTTAGAACCCTTTGGAAAGGAAAAGTTATCCTCCGCGACATTTTCTCTGCTCTCCCAATTGGAAAATTCCCAACGCTACCCATAATCCTAAGCCCCATGGTCTCCTTTTGAAAGAGTTCAAATCCCACACTTCTGTAGCTATGCACTGGTGAATCAGAAAGTGCAGTGTGATGCTGGATGGCCTCGTGAAAGAACTCTACAAAGGACAAAGATGAAACCTTAACAAAATTTAAGAGTTCTTCAATTAAAACCTCCAATGTTGGGGATGGTCGACTCACACCATTCAAGAAATTCTTCGCAATCCAAAGGTTTCTGTTAGTCATATGAAGCTGATAGATCATACAGTTTGCTATCAGTGTATGGTCCCCTTTAATTTTGCCAAAGCCCTCTTCTTTCTCTATAGTCGTTTGGCCAAACCTGAACTTTCGACCAACTGATTCTGCAAACTCTACTAGTCCTCTGCCTGTATGTTGTATAAGAGCTGCTTTTTCTGGACCTCCAATAATTGCAGTTATTCTCGGAGAAACATCATTCCTCTGTGCAAGGTCTGCCATTAATGATGGCCATTGGATTCCTTCCATGATGTCAAGATCCAGGACACGATCCTCGTGTTCCTCGCTGGTTGCCTCGAGGATCGTTTGGTTTGCAGTGAATTGTGCAAATCTCACATGTGGGGAAAGCTCTTGCAGCGCCTGGAAGCGAGACATGTTTCATTCTGTGCACGAAGAATCTCATGTAATGCTAATGCTGGAGTATCTCTGCATTTGTAGGAGAGCCCTCGAGTGAAATAAAAACCCATACCACTGAACAGATTCTCTTCAGTTTGACTTTGAAGTAATTAGCTGATTCCGGTGAGCATATTAAGATGCCAGTTTGAAGCTTCAACAACCTGGGCTCCTGTCAACAGAAGATCAGTGAAGGTATTGCTACCATTACCTTCCTGAAAGCCATCAAAATGCACAGCACATCTATGGAAGTAACCAAGTTGTCGCTTTCTTGATTCACAGGAATAGTTGATGAGTAGTTGCCTCATCTGTAGTTGGTATCCGTTTCAATCTGCAATCAGCTTCTATTTGACGTAAGCTTTCGATAAACTGATCAGTGTCCAGGCTGTCTGTTTCTGTTGTGCAAGTTGAATCAATTTCGAGGTTGCATTCTAGTTCATTATTGTAGTTGATAAGCGGAGTTTGCTCACAGTTCATGACACTCATGGCTAAGCACTGAAAACCAGAGTTCTTAAAAGGGTAATGAAATACTTGGGCCCCGAAGGCTCCATTATGTAGTGCTTCTTTCATTCCTAGGTATTTGGATAATGTAGCGTGCCAAGTATGAGATGTTCCATCTGGAGGAAAGAAGAATAAAAGAATTTGAAAGTAACAGCTCACATGGGAGTGAGGAGTCCCCAGTACAAGCTCCAAGTATATTCTTCACGTGTTCCTTTGGGCTGTGTTTGTTGGAACTCATTTTCCCTATTTTTCAGTATTTATTTCGAATTTAAGAAAAAAATGAACAGAAAAATAATTTTCAATTAACGAAAAATAATAGAGTATTTTTGAAAAAATATTTTTTTAATTAAAAAAGAAGAAAATATTTTCCTTTTCACGAGCTATCTCGCTCTTGTATTACTTACTTCTCACTCAATATATTTTAACAATTTTTCTTTATTTTCTTTTTATTTAAAATCTATGAAATTAATTTTTAATTATTCCTTATCAATTATTATTAATTAATTAATTATATTTTTATTTATTTCTACTAACATGTGATTTTTTGATTTATAAATACATTAAATATTCTTAAAAATCATTTTTACACCTTAAAATTGTAATTGTTTTGTAAAAAATTTGAAATTATTTATTTAATTAATTAATATATTATTTTTTCAACACTATTCATTTGCAACTAAATCAATAATTTATAATTTTAATCAGTTGTAAAATTTTGTTAATAATTGTAGTAAATAATTAGTTATAAATTATTTCGAGTATTAATCTTTTGAAACTAAATGAATAATTATCTACAAATGATAACTAATAATTTGTAAAACCATTTTTTAGACTAAATTATATGTTCAATTTCGAAAAAGAAGAAGAAGAAGAATTCTTAATTGAGTTACTAAAATAACAATGTTAGGATTACTTAAAATTTCTTTTTTACTAAATGTGAATATTAAATTGATTTTATCTCAAGAAATTTTGATGAGTTGGTTTGATAGTTAAAAAAATATATTTTATTTTTTGAATTAAAATTTTAGAGTCAGTATTTATGAAAATTTATTAATTTTTTCAAAAATATATATTATATTGTGAAATTTTAAAAATGCTTTTTTGAAGTTTTTTCAAAATTTGTTAATGTAACAATCACATACTGTATTTATATTTTAATTTTTTGTATAAAACAAACGCTGAAATATATTTTTCAGAAATTTTTTTCATGTAATTGTCAAACGGTAAAAAATAATTTTTTGAACAATAATTTTATAAATAATAGCTTTTTTAAAAATTGATTTTTCTATGAAAATTGTTTTACATCGAACAAATAGATGCTTGGTGCATCTGAATTTCACTACTTTGTTTAGCTGCTTGGCAAGCAAAGAATAAGGTATCTAGCATTTTTTTAATCTGAAACTAGTCATTGTTTAACACACTACACACACATATAAATATGCACACAATACTTTCCGACGGAGATATCAACAGTGGGAGGTGGTTTGGGTTGGCTTTTGTTGCTACCAATGGATTTGTGTTTATAAACATTCATGGGTTAAATAAAAGGATTATTACACTATAAGTAAATCAATTTTCAATTTTTTTCAAACAATTATATAATTTTTTTTGTTTGAATATACTAATTTTTGTAAAAAATTACCAATTAAATAGTTATATTAATTTTTTCGTTAACTAATGACGAATCCGTTATCCTTAAAATATCAAATTACAATTTATTTTTTTCTCAATGAAGTATATAAACTTTAATTTTTTTCGTCCGAGTACATCAAGTTTTTTAAAATTATCAATCAATTATTTTTATCAGTTTTTTTGTTAATTGATGAAGTGTTCAAATACGAAATTACAATTTTACTCTTTTTTTGTTGAAGAAAACTTTCTCCCCAAAGTATTTTACCATTTTAAAATTTGAAAAATAATTAAAAATATTATTTTTCATCTATAGAATTTCAAACTAAACCCGACTAGGTTGTTCTTAAAAAAATAAAATAAAAAAATCACTTAGATTTAACGGAAAAGATGAAAGAAAAATACATATGAATCTTTTTGACGAAAAATGCGAAGTTTGTGTTTCTTTCAAATTTCACGCTAAAAACCTAATTAATTTTTTTTAATAACAAGCCTAACTAAGTTTAGTTCAAGATTTTGTAACTAAAAATAACTTTTTTAAATTTTTGATTAAATTGTAAAATGATAGAATAATTTGAGTTTTCCTTACAACAAAAAAAAGAAAAAAAATGTAATTTGATATTTGGACATGCCATCAATTAATGGAGAAATGAACAAAAATACTTGATTAGCGAGTTTTAAAAAGATTAGTGTACTCAATCTGAAAAATTAAACTTCATGTACTCCATCGAGAAAAAAGGATAAAATTATAATTTGGTATTTTGAGGATAATGGACATGTCATTAGTTAATGAAAAAATTGACGGGAGTACTAGATTGAGAGTTTTGAAAAAATTGATATATTAAAAGAAAAAAAAATTATATACTTGATCGAGAAAAGATTGAAAATTAGTGTACTTATAGTGTAATTATCTTATTAAATAAATTATCGGATCGAGATGCAATCAACCTCGAGAAAAATACAATTTTTTTTAAGTGTTGTTTTGATTTTTTTTTTAACAACAAGCCTAACTAAGTTTAGTTCAAGATTTTGTAACTAATTTTTTTTTAATTTTTGATTAAATTTTAAAATAATAGAATAATTTAAGGAGTTTTTCTCGCAACAAATAAGAAAAAAAATTAATTTGATATTTGGACATGCCGACAATTAATGAAGAAATTGACAAAAGTACTTGATTAACAGCTTTTTTTAAAAAATTAGTGTAATGAATTTGAAAAATCAAAGTTCATGTACTCCATTGAGAAAAAAGGACAAAATTATAATTTGATATTTTGAGGATAATGGACATGTCATTAGTTAATGAAAAAATCGACGAAGTACTTAATTGAGAGTTTTGAAAAAATTGATATATTCAAACAAAAAAAAATTATATACTTGGTCGAGAAAAGATTGGAAGTTAGTTTACTTATAGTATAATTATCTCATTAAATAAATTATCGGATTGAGATGCAATGGACCTTGAGAAAAATACATTTTTTTTTAAGTGTTGTTTTATAATCAACATTAAAGTATACGCGAGCACATGCCTAAATAGTAATTTCAAAATGCAGAAAAAAATGACAATAAGAATAGAAAACCGAGCACCTTTATCATGATAAGCAAGCAACTTAACCATGTAATCCTATACTATTGCTCTTGACAATGCTCTAATTCTTCATCGTTGTTTTTTAATCCGTCCTTAAGTTACGTTAGTTTACTTTGAGGCATCGGTGTCAACACTTGAAAGAATTAAAGCAAAAAAAAAAAAAAAAGCTACACACGGAAAACAATTGAACAAATACAATATTACTAAATTTGGTTCTAACTTCCAAGTGAAGCACTCTAAGAACAAATAGTAACAAATTAATCATGCTCTTCTTTTCTACTCTTTCTTTAATTTCTTTTTTTTTCGGATAATAAAAAACATTCTCTTACTTTTTCTTATGTTATCGGTTTATGTTTTTTTATACAAGGGAGAGGAAAAACCATAAACACTAAGATGTTAGTTACAAAGTCTTAGAGAGACTACACCACAAATGTGCTCCGGAATGAGGTCGATACATCCCGATGAGCCATGCTCAAAATACAAAATTCTCCTCGAAAGAGAGTAAGCATGTAAAGCAAGCGGATCCGCGGTCGATTAGCTTCTCCGTAAGTGTGATCAATGCGAACTCGCTAAGGCTTTCGAACTATTACGCAAATGAAGGGGACTAGTTATCCGTAATTTTCTTGATGTCTAATTGAATTCCGAATTAAATGTATTACTAACATAGAGTTAGATTCCAAAAGAATAGTTAAAAACCCAAATTTCATGTCATTTTCAAACCAATCAGTATGCCATAAAGTTTTGCACATAGCACCAAACATATCCCAATCTAATAAGAAAAGTCATATGACCAAATACCTCTATCATCTTGAAGGATACCATCGGTTGTAACAATACCAATTAACTCTCTCAAAGCTCCATTTGGGTTTAGTTTGGCCCAACTCGAAGGTGATTTAAACCGACCAATTAAAGTCTCTAATTTTGAAGGATTCGACCTAGATAAGAAAGAGGGCATTCATATTCATGCTAGACACCATGTTTCCAATAAAAGCATGAATAACCTCCAATGGATTGTGAGGTATGACAAAAGCTTTATAAAAAAATCTCTTATTTCTCAAAGTCTATAAGAACTAGTAGCATACCCTATACCAAATACTCTAAGAATTTGAGTTTGCATGAGCAGATTTAGTTCGAGCTTAAACCAAACCTAATCTTTAAGATCCATTGTAAAGAAACCATCAATCCCATTAGTAGCCCCAACCTCCTACCAAATATTGGATGCTATAAAACCGTCACATAAGATATGGATTATTGTATTCGGGCTTCC